GGACAGCCCTTTCCCACTTACAAGTTTTGTGTGGATGTCGTTCTTAGTCCTGTTTTCAGGTTGCCTTGTCATTTCTGACTTGAGGGTATCTTATCCTTCAATAAACTGTACTTTCTTCTCTTATTCTCTCTCTCTCTACACTGTTTCATTAATTTATGACAGAAGTCATTCTGTGATAAGACGCCTCCAGAATATTGCATAATCCTTCTATTTGTAGGTAATGGAAGAGTGGGACGCATAGTGATGGCTGCTGCTGCAAAACACCTTACGCCGGTTGTTCTGGAGCTTGGAGGGAAATCTCCAGTTGTTGTTGATTCAGATATCAATTTACGAGTATGGCCTGAGCCATTTTTCTTTTCACTTGCTGTTGCGTGAACTTCCTTTCATGTTATATGTAACTCAAATTGATTTGTATTTACAAGGTAGCTGCTAGACGGATAATTGTGGGCAAGTGGGGTTGCAACAATGGACAAGCCTGCATTTCGCCAGATTACATTCTAACAATAAAAGACTTTGCCCCCAAGTTGGTAAGGAGTCTCCTAGATGCACAGTCAGAATTTGAATCCATGTCTTTGTTTATTTGTTGTTTGGTGCCTCTTTTTTTCTAGATTGATGCCCTAAAGACTGAATTGGAGAAATTTTATGGAGAAAACCCATTAGAATCAAAAGATTTGTCCCGCATTGTGAATTCGAATCACTTTGCTCGCTTGACAAAGCTGTTGGAGGATGATAAGGTCGCTGGTAAGATTGTTTATGGAGGACAGAAGGATGAAAGCAAATTGTAAGCTTTCTCTGCTGTCTATCTTATTGAAAAATTCTGGTTTAGTGAATTGAAATGCGCTACGGATCTTGATATCAACACTTCTTTCCTTTAAATGGCAGGAGGATTGCTCCCACTATTTTATTAGATGCTCCTCGGAATTCTTTGATAATGAAGGAGGAGATATTTGGTCCTTTACTTCCCATTATCACGGTAATAATCAAGTCACTAACTTGATTGTTTCTTTCAATAACGTAATATGAATAATATGAAAATGATCTTGGATTGTTTTGAAAGCTGCAATAGAAATAATTTCTTCATGTAAATCAAGAGTCGGCGATCAATTCTTTCTTGATAGGGTAAAATTAACTATTCAGAGTGACAGAACAGACGCCATAACTCTTTTCTGCGATGGTTGTCAAGGGAAAATTTCAGTTGACCTGTAATAAGACGATTCATATACCATACTCTTTTTTAAACATTAGCAGAACTTGGGAGGCTAACTATTATACAGACCTGGAAATGAGCGTACGCAAATTTCGAAGCGGTCATTAGTAAACCTCCTCTCTTATAACGCCTTCCTTATGGCTTGGAACAGGTCAATAAATTGGAAGAAAGTTTCGATGTGATTAATTCAGGAACAAAACCCCTCGCTGCATATTTATTTACCAACAACAAGAAGCTCAGGGAGCAGTTTGTGATGACCGTATCTGCAGGGGGTTTGGTTGTCAATGACACTGCCGTGCATGTAATATTTTCTCTCTTCTCACAACTTATCCTTGACTGCATGAGTTGTCCATATCTATTTCAGTGATTCTTGTTATTCATATTTACTGTGCCAATTTCGTTTTTGGCATTTTTGCCTTGATGCAGCTCGTCAACCATACTTTGCCATTTGGAGGAGTGGGGGAGAGCGGAATGGGTTCATACCATGGGAAGTTCTCGTTTGAAGCCTTTAGCCACAAAAAAGCAGTTTTGTATCGCGGTTTCGTGGGAGATGCCTCAGTGAGGTACCCTCCGTACACTAATACAAAGCTCAGGTTGCTCAAGGCTTTGATTGGCGGCGGTATACTTGGTATAATCCGTGCCATTTTTGGATGGTCTTAAGTTTAAATTGCCTTGAAACTTGGCCGGCAATGATGATACACCTTTCACTCTGGCTTGCTTGTAATTTAATGCGCAGTTTAACTTTATTTGATCTCGTGTCTATGAGAGTAAATTGAACACCATTCATTATTTTGTGTATGTGAGTGCATGCATTTTTCTGTGAAATTGAGACGCCTTCTGATTGTTGTGTCTTAACGAAAGATCATTCTGGTGAGATTATAAATGGTAGTTGAGCATCATAGAACTCAGTGCTACCTCCCCCCCCCCCGGGGGGGGGGAGGGGGGTGTTGTTCTGAGAAGCTGTTGATCAACAAGAATCCTGTAAGATGCTCAAAAATTTCAGATCTTTGATCATCTGTAAGTTTAGGAAAAGCAAATAGAAATGTAATTCTCAAGTCTCCTCTCTTTCTTGATTCTCTGGAGAGTGGTATGCCTTGGCGAGTGACAATGGTCCGGTAGCCAGGGATTATCGCCCACCGTGAAACTCATCTTTTCCCCACGCAGCATGCGCACTGAAAATGTGAAGCCAGCCTTGAGAAGAGGAATCCCAGCTCCAAATTCACCATCTCTTCTAAACAATCCGTATCTTATGTCGGAGACGATAAAAATTGTCTTCATGATGTGCAACAGGTTTATCGTTTCCATTTCCTTCAAATGTTATCGTTGTTCCTTTCGTCCATCCAGGTTTCACATTTATTGCCAAAGTGTCAACATTTCCTCCTGTTGAACTATTCCCCCTGTTTCAGGGAGAGAAAAAAAACTAGTAAAGTCTCTAATTTCTATTATGCTATGATTCTTTGGAAGAAAAAACCCATGATGGAATCGCCCTCGGTATCTATCAGCACATTCGTTATGATCTTGATCTTTTTCTCGCATCCATAACACAGCTTTTCAAGGGCGCATTCGAGCTTTTCCTCAATTGGTTTTTTTTTTTTGGGTTGGGGTGGTGTTGTGTGTTTAGCGTCCCACGCGAATTAGGGAACATGATCGGCTTGCTGCTCCAGGTCTCGCTTCTGTTTGTGGCGGCGGCTTTTTCTTGAACAAGAAATGGGAAGGTGGTACAGATATTTTCCTCCCCTTGTTGTTGCTTTGGATTTTGCTACTTCGGCTTGCATTATGACTAGGCTTATGAGGATCACCACCTCGAAAATCGAATGCCGCGAACTCCGTGTTTGTTCCCTGTTTTCAGCCTTCTTCGACAGGGTCCTGATAGTGAAGTTTAATCCAAAGAGGGAAAACAATCCGAGCACTTGATCTTAGCCAAAAGGCCGACAAAGTCAGAGGGAAAACAATCCTTAGTTGAATGGCTAGCACGCTTGAAATCAGAGTTAAGATTCTATACCGTTTATGACCACACGTTATTACTGAGGGACAACAATTCACTACCACGAGTTGGCCAGATTTTTGTAATAACCATCTTGTCATTTTATGCACTGAATTAGAAGAATTAATTTTTAATCTAAAGAGTGGAAAATAATCGTGGTTATATCTTTATACCCTGCTGTGCTTGATGAGTTCGTTGGGGGGTGGGTTGAGCATGATGAATTGATGATTTCTTCTGTTCTGCAACACTCTTTTCCGGCAGTGGCAGTGGCATTGGCAAGGTTGTGAATGGAGGTCATGTCAAGCATACAGCGACGGAGAAGAGAGTGACGATATCCGCACGGTCGTGAATGGAGCTAGGGCCTAGATTAAGTTAAATTAATCTCTTATTGAAGATTTATTATGGAGAATAATAATACTAACGGTTCTAATCGAAGAGGTTATGGTAAAAGGATACATTCTGAGCTTTGCATGTGAAGATATAAAAATCAACGCAGAAATAGGCAGCCGCAAAAAAGAAAAGGGGGGGGGGTGTAAGCTTTCGTTTTTGCATGGGCCATTTTGGTGCAATTCATGAATGGCCCATTGCGGATAATCTAAGTGCATTTGTTGTTTGGGTTGAACTTTTTCCCATCAATGCCCATTCCCCCAGATGCATGGGAAGAAGATGAAGAGCGAGGAGGCAAGAGCTGGTATTTATGTCTGTTTATTTTAATGGTAATTTAATAAAATATAAATAATAAATTTGATTATATATTCTTTGTACCATGTCAAACAGATTCATAGTAATCTTGATGTTATTACACTCTATTCCTAACCATTATATTCTTATATGTGAATCAAACTGATAATAAGTGTCCAATGATATAAACGAAAACCAATTGTGTTCGTTAAATGTTTATAATGATTCAATTATGTGTGCGTATACTGTATATATAGCAAATTTATTATACAAATTAAAAGTTCAACATCGGCTGCTGGATAATTAAAAAGAAAGTGATTCGTCAAAGAAAAAAAGTAAAATGATGGAGTGATTTGTAAAATAAAAAAAACAGATAAAAAAGACAAAGTGTTTTTTTTTAACAATTAAAGCCCAGTATTTGGTTTTGTAGGAATTTAATACTACCTCTTCCGGTCCTTAATATAAGAGTTAGTTTAAATTTTAATTTAGTCCTAAACATAAGATCTCAATTCATTTTGTTTCTAATATTTATCCATTTTTTAAAGTAACTTTTGCAGTAGTTGGACATATTAAATATTTCATCAAATAGTATTTCTAACTAATACATTTTGATTAACAAGAATATTTTAAAAAAACACATATTTATTACAAATAACTAAGTAACTAATTTTTCTAATATATTTAAATTAGTCAATTAATTCTTATACCATCTCCGGTCCTAAATACAAGAGTTAGTAGACTAATTTGAGTAGATTAAGAAAATAAGTTAAGTTAGTTATTTGTAATAAATATGTCTTGTTCTTCTTAAAATATCTTTGCTAATCAAATTTATTAGATAGAATTACTATTATTAGAAGGACTACCTTAAAAAAATAGATAAATATGAGAGATAAAATAAATTATTATCTTATATTTAAGATTAAAATTAAAATCAAATTAGGTTTTATATTAAAAATCAGAATCAATAATAAAAATCAGGGTAGTACTGGTACTGATTAAATTTTATCATTTTTTTTTCAATCAAATACCCCCAAATCCAAATTTTGAGTGTTTGACCCTTGTTTAGTCAATAACGAGGTCCAAACGGAGTCCCAAACGCGGTCGTTCTTTCGGGGGCGGAAAGGAGAAAGAGAGAGGAAAAGGCCATGCGTGGGCGTTCTTGCCCTTTGACTTTGCCACCCGAGCAAAACCAGCGCCACCTAACCAGACCCGCCATTGGGCTCTTCACTTCAGAGTTCAGACTTCCGCTGGCAAATTTTCCTCCCTCTTCAATTTTTCATTTCCCCTTTTGATCCAAACCTTTTCGTTTTACTCCCACCTTCCTCCTCTGATTCAGAGCAATCATTTCCTTTTATCATGATGGGTGTCAAAAGCAAGGGAATCGCATTCATGATCATATTTTTTCTGGGCTTGTCTCCTGTTTTTCCACCGTGTTCCTCCGCGGCCAATCAACCCCGTAACTCTAATAAGCCGACGCACCCGACTTCTGCTAATCGCCTTAGCTCCTCAGCTGTTTTCCCGCTTCAAGGGAATGTATATCCTCTTGGGTATGTATCTTACTATAAAAGTTATGTTCCTATATGCTATATCATCTTGCTGACATTCTTTAACTGATTTTAGGTTTTTTAATTGGTTTTTATTTTCCGAATTTAAGTTCTGTCTTGCGATATCCTAATCTTTTGGATCATTCTTCATCTATCCGTCTTAGGTTTCTGGTTGAGCTACTGATCCTGCGTCCTCCCTTTTTGTCTCCCATTCCGCCAGTCTGGAGATTTTAAATTGTTGCATTCGCAGCATGATCTTTTATTCTCATCAGTTCTTTTGATATCATTTTCTTTTCTAGTTTCTTGAATACTTTCAGAGCCGTCTTCGTTTGGGTCGAATTTTGTCTTACGGCTATCACTTTTCAATTTCTGATCTACTACTACAAAGTACTTTTACTCGAGGGGCCTCCCATTTAAGGGCCGCTTCTCCTTTCTCTCAATGAAAAAGTGGACCCATCTCTTGCTTAATTTCACTCTAAGTAACTTCTTATCTATCATTCATAGTGGCTTTTAAGTAATAGCAACATAGGCGATTGTTTTCTAAAAGTTTACTTGTCTTATTTTCGAATTAATATCATAAGATCCAATGAAAATATAATCACTTTGTTTCTCTGCAGGCACTACACCGTCACCCTCAACATTGGTTCTTCTTCCAAGATCTTCGACCTTGATATTGACTCCGGTAGTGACCTCACTTGGGTACAATGTGATGCACCGTGTAAAGGTTGCACCAAGGTGAACTTCTTTTTCAATTAAAAAGAATCACTTCGTACTTCGTACTGAAATATTAGCAGTCGGCAGTAACCTCCCATTTTTCCTTTCCCGGACTGTTGTGTTTGCAGCCCCGTGATAAACTTTATAAACCCAATAACAACGTGGTACAGTGTTCGGACCAGTTGTGCTCTCGAATTCACTTATCGACAATATCCCAATGTTCTGCTCCAGATGAGCAATGCGACTACGAGGTCGAGTATGCAGACAATGGAGCATCTCTTGGCGTGCTTGTCCGAGACTTCATTCCCCTTCAATTAACCAATGGCTCTGTCATACGTCCGCAAATCGCCTTTGGGTGAGTCTTCTAGCTCCATCCTAGACAGTGCTTGCGCACCCGAATGGCGGTGTAATTTTCTTTAAAATTTAACTGTGCTAAGATTTTCCAATCTGATTGATAGTACGTTTATCTTTTGAATGCTAGGTGTGGGTATGATCAGAAATTCTCTGGCCCAACCTCTCCACCTTCTACGGCGGGAGTTCTTGGTCTTGGAAGTGGCAAAGCAAGCATTTTGTCACAGCTTCATTCTATGGGTCTCACCCGCAATGTAGTAGGACACTGCTTAAGTGGGCAAGGAGGAGGCTATCTATTCTTTGGAGATGATCTCATTCCTTCATCTGGAGTTGTTTGGACCCCTATGCTGTCTAGTTCCTCCGAGTAAGCTATGCCAAAATATTTGTGTTTTTCTCACATGAATTTTTTTATTAATTTTTTTCGCAAATACTTGCACAATCATTTCTTCAGAATGCGCTATAGCTCAGGACCAGCTGAACTACTTTTCAATGGAAAGCCTTCTAATGTTAAGGGTCTTGAAGTTATATTTGACAGCGGGAGCTCCTACACATACTTCAATTCCAAGGCTTATCAAGCTGTTGTCGATCTGGTGAGATGTAACTGAAGAAACCTCGTTTTATGATGATCATCAATCAGCGCCTGTGTTTTTGGCTTTTAGATAAATCAGTAATCCTTTATCTATATTCAGGTGATTAATGACTTGAAGGGATCACAATTGACAAGAGCAACCAAAGAAGAAGACCCGTCCCTTCCAATTTGCTGGAAGGGTGCAAAACCTTTCAAATCATTACGTGATGTTAAGAGCTATTTTAAGCCTTTGGCAATGAGCTTCACAAAAAGGAAAAAGGTGCTGCTGCCATTACCACCAGAAGCTTATTTAATTGTTACGGTGAGCACCTTTCATCACAAGATCATTTTCTTCCTCGCATAGCAACAGGGAAACAAACGAAATCATATTTCTAACGTGATGCCTTACCCAGAAACACGGAAACGTCTGCTTCGGGATCCTAAATGGCGAGGAAGTAGGACTGGAAGATCTTAACATAATTGGAGGTACGATCAAGACATGCCAATCTTTAAGAAATCATTCTTCACTTCGCGATGTTTTGTTTGTTTGATTGTTAGTTATTCTCTCTGCGAGCAGACATCTCATTACAAGATAAAATGGTGATCTACGACAACGAGAAACAGCAGATCGGATGGGTTTCTTCCAATTGTGACAGGCTTCCCAAGTAATAAACCAATCTCTGTTATATCTTTTAGTGTGATTGATCATTGCTCAGAGGGCTTTCTCACTACGGAATTTTTTTCCCTGTTCATTAACAGTGTGGATCGTGACTTTGATGACGTTTTTTCACTACCTTACGCAGCCAATTTCGATATTTTAGCTGATCGTTGACCTGCACATGATAGATATCACAGATTGCTGATGCGTTCATCACTGGATTGCATATGTAACTCCATGTCCACGGCACAACATATTACATAGATATAGGTTCATTTTTTGCCAACCTTCCTAGAATACTTTGCTTCATTAGCAACTATATATGATTTGTAACTCTACGCACGCATAATAGTAATGCCTGGTGGAGAACAATTGATGTAGAGCCCCAAAATGCCATCAGCAGAGTCGAGCATTAAGCTAGAGGATCCACCTTCGCTGTAGCTTTTCCATATCCCAGCCAGAAGGTGATTGATTGTTACTTATCAGTCTGAGTTACAAAGTATACTGTACCTGCATGTAGTACATGATACTTGAGTTTAAGCATCGTCAAATTAGGAAAATAATCATTGGAGTACATTTGTGTATAATATACTCACAGTAGCCACAGCAACTTTCTACAAGTCTTGATTTGCATACTGCAAGTTGTTAAATGATCTTTATCAGTCACGGTACTTCGGTCACAAGAGATTGCAATATTAAGCACAAGAGACGAAAACTTCATACTGGTATTGTTCAAAATTTAAGGTTGTTGAAACAGAAGCACAGCGCAACTCCTAAAATTTGCTCAGGCTGATGGATGAGGGTTGTTCATTTTATGGATTTGACTTCTGATATAAAGCGTGAAAAATTGAGAATATATTCATCTATCAAAAAATGTTAATCAGTTTTCATGTTTAGTTATGCGTAAAAAAAATAAATGGATTGATGCACTGGGGGCAAAGCAAGTTGGCACTAGGGTATTTTCAGGCGAAATACGATTTCTAAGGTTACAGCCTTACAGGATAATAGTGACAGGGAAAAGACATTAAATCTTACTATGAACGTTTGGCATGCAAGAAATATTACCTTGGCTTGGCAGATCTTTGTTATTGCCTCAATATGAAGGTTTTGAAGTTCTTCAAGGGCCATAACGTCCAGACCAGCAATGTCCTCACCCTATCACGTTATCAAAAGAGACGTCATTTGAACATTCTCTCTCTTCATGTTCTAGAGAATACCTAACAACTATTGGCTTATGCCGGTGAAATAGCCGGCCATCAACTTGAGCCCATTGTGCCAACTATAATTGTCAGGCACCAAAAAAACACATTCACAAAGCATTCAAATATAAAATATTCCACGCGGGGAAGGGTTGAGGAATCATGCTAACAGGAAAACCAACAGCATGTAATCCATGGCTCATAATTTCTATGCCAAGAAAACTACTTAACTTCAATGTCCAAGTCTTGCTAGTCGAAAGCTTCTAATTAGAATGAACTAATTTGCTATATAACTCTATGCAAGCTGAGTAGTAACTAGTTGGAATTAAATTCAAGGTCCCTGGAGAAATTAAACATACCCGGGCTTATGTCTTTCTAAATTCTGACTCTTCTTCAGAACTGTAACCTAAATTTGTATTCTCTCAGCGATTGGTAGTATTATTCAGACCTTTAGTTTATGCAGACAATGACTGTTGAGTTATTAATTAACATTATCGATTCACGGCATAGTAGACGAGGTAGGAAAGAATTCGGGAATGAGATACCTTCAATCTGGAAATAACACTCTCTAGTTCTTTGCATCTTCTTCTTTCTCTTTGATAACTAGCCTTGAGTTCTTCCAATGCGATCACCTCTTCCATAGCTGCTAAAGATTCATCCTCTTTGTATGTTTTTCTGTTAGCGTTGCCGTTAGTTGGACGGAGTCCATTTTTAACCCTGGTTTGTATATCATTAAGCTTACAGAGTGTTGACTTGTCGTCCATATTAACACCAGACTTTCTCATCTTCGCAACCATCACCCGCATACTTGCTAGCTCATCTTCCATATCTTGTTCATGGTGTTTTGTTTCATCAAGCCTTCTTCTCAGCTCCGCCTCAATTTGGTCTTTTGTGGATAGAGCAGCTTCCAACAAAGCTTCTCTCTGGAATCCAGCTTTAAGGTTCCTCTGCAACTTCTCAATCAGAACATCATTCCCAAGCTTTCTGGATTGACCATCTTGTTGCTGAGTATTATTAATACTTTGTTTGTGATCACACGAAGCGGATGTTTGACAACAGTTAGACTTGCAACAAGCCATTTTTGCAGCTTCCAGATCACCGGTCAGTTCTGCATTCTCATAGGAGAGTTTGGTTACTTCTTCGGCCAGGTTTCGAAGTTCAACAGCTGCAGCGGCTGCCAACTCTTTTGCATATGAAGCTTCCTGCGCAAGTTTGCGACTCTGAATTTCAAGCCCATCTTTTTCTTCAGCCAATCTCACTTTATCTTGCCTCAAATTCTCTATTTCAGCTGCCTAAACAGTGCAATAGTGACAAAGATTAAAAGAAAAACCCCTTCCAAAAGAAACCAAGCGCACAGAGACACAGACACAGAGAGAGAGAGAGAGAGAGAGAGAGAGAGAGAGAAACCTGCATACAAATTTGAGAACTAAAATGGGAATTATTACTGCCTTGCCTGGAGTGCTCCTGAATATTTAAGTTTGTAACGCTAGATGTTTCGTGGGTCACTTCCGATATCACTTTAAAACACACGTCATTTGGCTCAGTCTCACTTTCAGCCAATGGTTGATAACTATCTGAGGTTTTATTCTTCAATAAATCTACTTGTTGCCTTAGCATAAGTATAGTCTCTTGCATACCAGCGCATTCTAAATTCTGTGGAAAATTGAGGAAATGAATTAGAAATTGGAAGTCCCCATGAAAGAAAATACAGTTGTGTGATGTACCTTAGACTGCAGTTGCTCTTGGAGTATCCTGTTGTCTGCAGACTTGATCTTGAATACTCAACAGCAAGAGAGAATACCTCAGCATGATACTCGCAATATTTTCTGCTTGCTAGGTGGGGGAAAAATAAAAACAAAACCGGTACGAAGAAGATAGAAAAACCAACCTCAAGTTCAAAAATTTTTTCGTTGAGCTCTGTGGTAAGCCTGGCCAGAGCCTACATTCAAGAGTAATTGAGTTGTCAATTTAAGCAATTCAATACACCAAACCGAAGCTATCATAAACAACCTTGTTAGACCTAAAAATCCGGCAAAAGAATAAAAAGCCACTGATTTTCATCCCCCTCTTACTGCCATATCCAAAATACTTCTCTTCCCTTCAATTTTATAACGAATTTTAGTTCTTTAATTGGCCACGTAAAATGCATTAAGTTTTTTTTTTTGGGGGGGGAAAAATGCATTAAGTATGTTAAGGGCTTCCAATTCTAGAGCAAGTGACGTTGAAAAGAAAAGGACGTGTCAGAAAACAGAATGTCATTTGGTCACGTTATTTGTCTTATTTCTTTTATTTTTTGTCCTTGGAATAAATTTTCCGTATTCTGTGAACTATTGTGCACAAGTTTAGACAACAATTATCTGTTTCTGTTCACCATAATATATACAAAATAGCATGAAACAAACTTTAATATAAGAAATAATCATTATCCTTACCTCAGACATTTCACTGTTATTGGGTGCATGTGCCGTCATCCGAAGTGGTCCAAGCATACGTTGCTCCAGAATACGGATTTGGTCCTTCTTTTGACTAATTTCATCCTTCAACTTCTGCATGTGCTCCTGCCATCATCACCAGACCAGCCACCTCAGTTTTCATAATAAAAACAATGTTCAAGTCCTCATTGGACTATCCTAAATAGTAGCTCACCTGTAGTTGTAAATCTTCAGGACGGTTAACAGCTTGTTCAGACAGTCGTTTCAGAGAACTGGTGCATAATGCCACCTCCCCAGCCAGCATTTTTACTTGTTCACGAAGAAGATCCATTTGATCAGTTATTGTGCTCCCAGTCTGCAAAATAGTCACTTGGAATATTTATGTCAGATTAATCCATTTCGTAAAATACATAAACATCTTTCCTGTTGCATTTTTCACTAGTAGCTGAGATCTCACCGGAGGAAGTTGACGACCTTTGGTAGTTCCACTAAACAAGTCACCGGCTTGGTTTCTTAAAGGAGATGAATTAAGAGCTAAAGCATTTTCTTTTGTGCTGATTGAATTCCTGCGTGGGTCTTTCACGTCACGAAGCATTACTTTATTTGGCATTTGTTTTGAAGATGATGCAGGGGTCCCATTTGTAGGGCTCTCGCCATCAGAATTTGGTGACCATCCCCCCTGATCAGGTTTCTGCAACGGAGACATATACAATTAGTTGACCAGGTCACCATAATCAGTTGCTAATACAGCCTCATAACATAAAGAGATCATTCTACCTAATACTGGTTATTGTTTAATCAGAGCCTTAATCTTAAGATGGGTATAACTAATAAAGGGGAGTCATTAGTGACGCTGTAGGTAGAGGAACTTGTTAAGTCTTTTCTGTTAGTAACCATACTGTTTGGTATTAATTCTTAACATGATGAATCATCAAATTTCTACTTTCAAATGAACAGAAAAATAACTTACTCTCAGCTTGAACCAGCCAAGCATTCCCCGTCTTTTGTTCCTTTTATAATCCCTCATCAGCTCATCTAAGTTAACATCATCCTTTCCTTCCACTGAAGGCTCTGAAGCGTGGCTTCCAGCATCATCCTCAGTCAAAATATCACGTTTTCTATCTGGAAGATATGCTAACTGTAATAACGAGAACAAGCAGTTGACTTCATTACTTTTCATTCCAAGTTACTGAATTCATATTGCAAAACAACAGATCACTTGAACTATATCAGATCACTTAGCACAAAGCAGATAACTGACTGCATCACCATACGGGGTAACATGCTAAAACAGTAAAACATACCTCATCTTCCCCAAAAGAATGCCTGCGCCTATGGCTAGGCCTTTCAGGAATGTTTGAAGACATTGCAGTCTTTGTGGAAACCAGTATTAGTTTGGTGAGTCGCTGAATTCTTCCCATCAAAGCTGCTTTAGACTGTTCCTCCTCTTCCAATCTTGACTGCAATTTGAACTGGCCAGCTTCCAGCTTTACATCATGATGTAAGCTTTCATTAATGGCAAGTGAAATAAACAATACGCGAATCAAACATAATGTGCAATGAGTAAACCAAACACTACGTTCCCAGTGGATCAAAAATCAAGACAACATATTATTCTAGGCTTCTTCCACATTATAAAGTTGCCACTAACCCTATGTTTGGACGGAAAGAAAAGTAGGGAGAGGAGAAAACAGGAGGAAAAATGTATTTTGCCTTGTTTGGATAGCAAGAGAAAATAAGGAAAGAAAAGTTGAGGAGAAAAAGGCATGGGGTCCACATGTTTTTTTCCTATAAGTCTTCTCTTCAGACAGAGAGATTTTGGAAAGCAAACATGCTTTTCAAAGCTGCCGTGAAGGAGAGAAAAAGGGACATGAGCCCACATCATTTTCATATGGGTATTACTATCATTGTAAAATCAGTCTCTTTTTCTTCTTTTATATTTTCTCCTGCTCATCCCAACATAAGGAGAGAACATTTTCTCTTCACTTTTATCTTCCCTCCATTTTCCCTCCTCCCATTTTCCCTTCGCATCCAAACAAA